GAAAAGAATGGAGTGTAATTATGTGAATAATCAAATGGAGTATAGTTCTCATGAAACACCGGTGGAGATTGTAAAAGTGCATTGTCAGGGGACTCAATTGTGCTCTCCTTGTCTACATAAATTTTCGAAATAAAATAAAATAAACTCCTAACTTTTGGGGGAGATCCAAGACATTAGCCAAGGTCTAATCATCGTTGGCCAAGGTCTAATCGTCATTGATTGACAAGGACTTGTATTTCTCTTTCAATGGGAACCTACTTGAACTTCAATTTTAAGTTTTCCCCATAACCGGCAACCTTAGGCACCGTCATCTCCTCCAGCTAACCTAATGATGTTTCCTTTTGCACATTAAACAATCCGTTCGCTTCAATGTCATAAGACACACCTTGGGATCCCGCACAATATTTTCCCTTTAATAGAACACGATATTCACAGCTACCATACCTAACCTTCACAAAAAAGGATTGGTCAAAAAATATGGACCCTATATTCAAGAAAATGTAATGACACCACCTAAATTAGTAGGCCCCCTTATTTTACACAATCAATATGTGTATTGTTTACACACTCTTTTATTGAGGACTCACTAAATTTTGTACGTGTTATCTGAGGGGGGTTGTCACGACCCATCCCGCTCTAAACAGAATAGTGAGGTGATCGGACAATAGTTGCAGACTACCAAAGGCCTAACTTACAAAACAAGTTGAACTCTTAGAATAATTGGGGCAAATTATCCATTTTTAAGTGTGGAAGCCATCCTTGTTTATATTGAGTCCATTTGAAACATCCATTCAGAGCAATGCATAACTATATGAAATGAAAACATACATTTCTCTTGGATTATTATCTTGCGTTATTACATGATCTATACAACAAAAAGCAAAATACAACGCTTTTGACAAAGCTTTACAAAACTAGCACAAACATACGAGACCAACTTCTTATCAAACTTCTCTTCGTAATTGAGCTCTTCATCACCTACATATATATATATATATATATGAGGGAGAGGGGTGAGCCATTGCCCAACGAATAGTAATATACTAAAATGGTAAATGAATGGACACCGACAAGCTTTTAAACATAGCATCAGATCATAGTTTGAACTTAGCTTTAACTTGAGCAAGACATTGCATAACTTGGCTCGCAAACATTTATATAATGATGAACATATCTAGGATTTGCAAGGTGTTATTGGCATTAAACCCCCAGTAACTAGGTCTTTCCTGAAGGTGGCAAGGTGAGTTCAGCTATCAAGACATGACTGGTTATTCCCCCAATATTGGGACACGAGAATGTCATCTTAATACATGGTTACAAGAGTATATGATGTTCATTCATGATAAAACATTAACAAACTTTTCATAAACATAGCAGAGGTTTTGCATTTCAAATCATAGCTTAACAAACATGACTTTACTACACTACTACTCACAAATGGCTCTTGAATAAGGGTTCCTCCTCTAATGTGGTTAACCTACACAAACAAGCATACAACATTGATAAAGCGAAATGCAAAATGAATGTGTCAACTTGACTTTGATTTTCTTTCTTAGCTATCAATCCTATTTTAGGTCTTAAAAGAGTATAATGAGGTCTGGTGCATCAAAACGAGCGAAAAGGAAGAAATCGGGTAAGTGTGTTGGCAAATCCGCTCTTATGGATTTGTTAAGCTTGGAAAATCCGCACGTGCAGATTGAGACAATGACCCCTAACAATAGTGTAATTTCAATCCACTTGTGCGGAATTTCTGGCCGCACGAGCAGTTCCACGTAGGCAAAACGGGTTGGTGTGTGTTCTTGGTGTTTTCTTCCATTCTCTTCATTCCAAAGCTTGAAATCTTAACTCTAGAAGCTCTAAAACATGAATAAATGATATACGATTCATGAAAAAACTCATTTGAATGCATGAATTCAAGTTTAAACCAACCGAAAACAAGGTTTGATTCAAGAATTTCTCAACCTATTTTCTTTCTTACACTTTCTTTCATTTCTTCATTTTTCTCTTCTTTTTCCTCTTGTTCTTCTTCTTCTCTAGCTCAAGAACTCTCAAGGCTTCAAGAACAATCTTCTAACTTCTCCAAGATCCTCTTTTGTTTTAATATAGAGATATTAATTAGTCTAAGCATTTCACTAATCCCTTATTAGGTTTAATTAACCAAGCTTAGTTCTAATTAATCATGCTTAGCCCGTAATTTCCATTAGTCTAATTAATCCTACTTAGGCTTTAGTTAATCAATCTTAGTTATAATTAATCAAGATTGGTCTCTAATTAATCAAGGTTAAACTTAATCTTGCTTAGCTTAATTAATCTCAATCAGGGTTCACTAATCCTACTTAATTAACACTTATCCCGATTAGCACAATGACATATAGTATTAAAATGACGAGTACGTTAGTCTAAAGATCTTTAAGCTCCTAAATTAGTGAATAGGTACATCCTAGCATTCACAAATCTAAACTTAAGGTGTCTGCTAACTCTAAATGATCTTCAAGTATTTTTTTCCTCTAAGTTTATTTAACTAAAGTATGCCTTTCACTTCTAAGTTCCTTACTAATTGTATTCATCTTCTAAAGTTTCGTCTTATCAATTCATATTTCTATCTCTAGGGCATTGTAAGGTAATTAAATTAAAGTAAGTAGTCAGTCATGTCATGTAAAACTACTTTTGATGTAATACATACTTGCATGCCATGTTCAAGAGGTGACCAGTTCTTAAGTCTTAATAGTTGATAGTGAAATTTACATATTCGGAGCTTCCTAATCCCCCATTTGTAAGTTTTACCTTAAATATTTGTGTGGTAAGATGGTAAATTTGACTTAGGGTATTCAAGGATAGGTAATAATATAATTATAGCACGTTGCGTTATTTGGAGTGTCATAGTTGTTTTGTGTATGGCTTGTAAGTTGGCTTTTTTTTTGTGTGCATATTAAGAAAATATTTGCAGAAAAGTAGAGAGGTGATGCGATAGAAATAAGCCAATAGGCCGCTTATTTATGGTGTTGCCAAATGAGCCCTTAGATTAGGGAAAAGCACTATATATTATTTGTTATTTGTTATTTTTATTTTTTCCCCACCATTTCAGAACAAAAGAACCAATCATGAGTGTCTATGTAGAAGTGGTATGATTTTGTCCATATATTTCAATTATGGATAAAATTATGAGTAATTTTCTAAGTATGTAGCACAATTAGTTTTGAATATATTGGCTTCATTTCATGAAACAATAAAACAATACTAGTACCAATCTTGGAGGTCTTGACAGAAAATAAACACAGTAAAATAAAGGTTGTCATTCTACGTATCTACTCCTACATAAATACTGATAAAGAGCACATACATGTACTCAATAAAATAAACTATCAGCCTTGATTTTCAGTTAAAAAACGAAAAAAAAAACTTGTTGTGAAAAGTTAACTATGTTGGAAGTTGAATAACAAAGAATTGGCCAAATTGAAAATAAAAAAAGGTATACTAATTATAGTGTCTCACATCAAGTAAAAAATGACCTAGTAAAAAAATCAAAAATATAAACCAAACCACCACAACAACAAAAAGAAAAAAAGAAAAAAGAAAAAAAAGACCCCGAGGATTCATGTATGATTTCAGTGAACCTTATTCGTCAAAGTTAGAAATGCATTTTTACTTGTCAACTAATTAAAAAGAGCCTAAAATTCTTTTATCATCATCCTATAGGTAAATCACGGGTTGGGTTTGGGGCGGGGCAAATCGGAGGGTGACGGAAGCGAGGCAGGAGGTGGGTTAATTTTGTAAGTTGAAAAATGAAAATATTAATAAAAATTATAGATAATTTAGTATATTATGAATAATAATTTAATTAATGAGACTTATATAAGATATAAAATAAATGAATAAAAATTAATATTAAGTATAATATTTTAGTATTTTAACTTTATTATAATGAAAAATAATTAAATTATATATTATATACATATAAATATATTTAATAAATATAATCGAGGCGGGGTTCGAGTAGAATGGATAGGGGAAGCAAAACCTGTCCCCGCCCCACTTCTTAATCGGGGTGGGAAAAATCCGTGCAGGTGGGATGCATCCCTAGGTAAATGCCTCAAATCAAATATATTCCTTCAAAACAAACACACACAATCACTTATGATTTTTTAAAATATAAGTCAACTATTCTTCTATTTTTGAAACCTAAAATCAGTATGTCTAAGATTTGAAACAAAATCTAACAATATGACCCTCTATTTGTCATATTCTGCTAGCATATGCATATTACATGACATAGTAATTTTCTCCCTTAGCAGTCAATAATCATTCTTATGTCATACTATGCTAAAGAATGCTAAAATGTGCCCTTTTCAAAGTCTTTGTAATGTGAAAGTAAAGCTGGCAGTGTGAAGGTTCCAAAGTTACCTAACCCACTTTGATAAATATATATGAATTGGAAAGCCTATACATTTATCCAACCCATTTGGTAGCACTGGAAATTTAATCAACCTGCAGAGTTGTTCTGAAAAACACTAGACAAGACTAGAAGTGAAGTTGATAAATTATACTTGGTTTATGGTTGTCAATTTTGGGAGCTTAAGTTGAGTCTGTTTAACCAACAAGTTCAGCAAAATTTCTAATCCAGATCCAATTTTTTTTTAGGAGGGCTGTTGGTCTGGATTGAATTTTATGGGCTCTAGTAGATTGAAAAACTTGTCCATCAATTATAACTTTTTCTCTATGTAGCACCATTTTTGGTTTTGTTCATAACTAACAGTTCTTGTGTTGAAAACTTTTGCTTATGTCTTGTAATGGTTTAACATTGATAAGGAAGTTATGTGCTCCTTTTACCTTGATATAGTTAGTAGATTAGAAAGTTTGGTTTATCATTTATGACAACAGTTGGGTGCGTAAATGGTTTACATGTGTAATTTAGGAAAAATTAGTTTGTTTTAGGTTAGTGTCTGCAAAAGGTAGTGCTTTTGGCACACTGAATTATGACAGAAGTTAGCATGTCATTCCAGGTTGGTGGCTTAGAGGAAGCTTATCTGGCTGCAAAGTCCTTGTTCCTCTCAATGGGCAAAAGCACAATTTATTGTGGTGGAGCAGGAAATGGTTCTGTATGTTCTCTTACATGCCTCAAGCCATGACATGTTTGTTTTTATTTATATTGTGGATGCTTTAAAAGTTATGTTATTGGAAACATGTGGTCCCACTAATCTGTATTGTACATGAGTAGTAGTTGGTTTTTGATCAACTTCACTTTATAGCCTCATCCGTATGTTATTCTTGCATAGTCGATGGCCTTGATCAGTTGGCAATTCGGAAGCGGCTTGTATTGTATATGCTTTTCTATATGTAGGTATTTTTTGTTTCCACCAAGACAAGCAACTGATTATAAGTTGTCTTAACAAGGATATCAGCAGTTGCTTGGTTCTAACTGTCATGTCTCTACCATTCTGAACACTGGATGAGAAGTCTTCATTTGTATTCTTGCAGTCCAAATGCAATCATGGAAATGAACCAGACTTCATCAAATGGGTCCAACCTATAAGTCTGACCTATCTGATAAAGAAACCAATGTAGGAGTACATGTTCTTGTAGATAATTGATGGATATACGAATTTAAGTTGATTGGATTGAAGAAAATAGTAGAGAAGAAACATAAATAATGTGCTTATAAACTTATTTTGCTTTATATATTTATTTTTCATATGATCATTACATGGGCATATCCATTTATTTTTCTAGTATCAGATTGCAAGGCACGGAGTAAAGTAATAAATCTTTGTTTGGAATCTGCGCTTACAATTAGACATCAGATCTTTTCAGTAAGTATTGGGTACTTTGGCATGGGTTGTTATTTAGGCAGCAAAGATTTGCAACAATTTGGCAATGGCTGTGAGTATGCTTGGGGTGTCAGAAGCCTTTTCACTTGGCCAGTCTTTGGGAATTTCAGCTGGTACTCTGACAAAGATATTCAACTCCTCAAGTGGTCGCTGTTGGAGTAGGTAATGTGTACTATTTTTAATGTTATTGGTTTATGAGAAGTATAGCTTCAATTGTAGAAGGGTTTCTTTCTAGAAATTACATTACAAATAAGAGTCAATCTCTCCAACCACACAAAGCTCTTATGTCTGTGACTTCTTGTGACAAATATTACTGGTAACTTTAAAAGGTGAAAATGAAATTCAGGACTACAAATTATGGGATATGTGAATTTGAAACATCCTTGACCTCTGATGAAGTGTTTATGACTTAATCCTCTTTATATGAAGTGCATGTTAAATGAAAGATGAATGGTATCACACGTTATACTTAGTCTGTGTTTCTATAGTTCCTTGAGAGCATCTTCCATCAGAAGTTGTAAATGGTCCAACATTGAGTCCTCTATTAAATGATTCTATTTTGTTTTTCAAATAACTTGAAATTGTTAATTTTTTATTCCTAATAAGTTAATTATTGACTTCACTACAAAGTGGGCGCACAAATGTCATTATCAAACTACATTTTTTTTTATTTATATTTCCAAGGTTTTTAAGCATAGTATGTATTAATGGCATGTACACTCTGTATAACTTGTTAGCAACATTGGCTCTTGTGCTTAAGATAGTGCATTAAGCTTCTCCCTTGATTTGGGGGTAATATGTGCATTTTATAGTGAGATTTCTTATTACTAATGACTTGATGCTGCAATATTACAGTGACAGTTATAATCCAGTGCCTGGAGTTATGGAAGGGGTTCCTTCTTCAAGGAATTATAATGGTGGCTTTGCGTCTAAGCTTATGGTATGTGGTTTAGTCTACTAGTGAATTAGAACTTTGTGCTTCAAATTTTATGTTAGCTATTAGAATGTAGTTTCTTACCAAAAATATGTCTGCATGCGCAATGATAGCAGTTGTATAGCGTAGTTACTAGCTATTACTTTTTTTTTCCCCTATCATTTTTCCTAAAAAATATTTTTATGGGGTGGGTTGGTGTTGGTATACATCTTGTGAGCTACAACTTGTGCAGATGTCTTGTGTTATGTTGTGTTCTACTATGTTCATTGTGTGTGTTACAATATGATTACACAACCAAATCGAATCCCCCTCCAAAGATTCCGGGAACAAAGCCGAAGAGCACGTGCACTAGTTGGAATCCACAATTTGACACAAGGGATAGAATGACTAAACCGGTTGCTACCAACCGGGAGGGCACTTCGACAATCAAGTCAGTTACAATATCTCTCAAAGATAATCAACAGAGTAATGACAACTCTAGCAATTAACTCACAAGTAAAAACATACCTTTGACCCACGGGGTGCCTCTCTTTATATAGAATCAGTGCCCTCCTCATCCCAGAAGTCATACTTCAATAGGACACTTATTCCACACAAGAATAACACTTATCCAGGATTCATCTCTCCTAGTTGGATTGGGATAAACCTCTCACAAGAGTCCCAACTTATCTAACCAAGGAATCAATCTTCAACTAGGACTCAAGTCCTTCTCTGATTATCTCGGATCTGGTGTGATAACATTACACCTCGGCCAATAACATCCTTCCATGTGGCACCTCGGCTAACAACCAAGCCATGTGGATAAGAAGAAAATTATGTCCTCACAATTGCCCCCTAGCTCCTATTACCTCGGTAACCTTGAGGTGATGGGAGCTACCTTGGCCAACCTTCTAACACGTCGGTTGAAACAACTTGGTGCCAATTACACCTCCGACCGAGATCATGACTCGTCAGCTCTAGAATACTCGACCTCAATGTTTATCTTTACAAATCCTAACTCTGACATCCCACCTAACACAGTGACATGGCATCAACCCATTGGTCCTCTTCACGTCTTTTCATTGTTGTGCGTCACTTCACTTCTGATGCCTCAACTTCCCAAAAATTTGAATCATTGCGCTGTTTGGTGCCTCCTCTTCCCTAAAACCCTTCTCATCCTTTCACTTTCATTCACTCAAACATCAAACTCTCTCTCTCTCTCTCTAGATACCTGCAAAACCATCATTTGTGCTTTGAAGCTCACCGCTGCCACACCTCCATGCACCATCTCCGGTCGTCGTCATTGTCACTTCGCTCCGATCAATCGATTCATCTCCCTCCATTGACCTTTAATCGGTCCCCATTTCACCTGAATCCAACCGTAAGTCACCCTCTAAGCCTTCATTTTTCTTTTATGTTTCTGGCGCTTCTTCTCTTGTTCTTCAATTTCCTCAGTTTTTCCTTCGATTTTCTACTCAACCCCAGATTTTAGTAACAAACACTTAGGAAAAACCAGAAAAGTTCAGTTTTAGGCAAAACACACATACTACCCCCACTCCCTTTCACCATAGGAGTTCACCGTTGGAGAGTAGAGACTGAGGCTAACCTCTAAGCCTTTTGTTGAGATTTCCACATTCTGGTCAACATACACATTCGTCTTGCCGGTGATAACAACACTTGGTTAGGGGGTCTAGATTACATTCCATTCCCATAGTTGCCATCGTAAATGGTGGTGTTAGGTTTCCCCTAGACATCGTATTCTGAGAAGTCATGCACTACTATAAACTTTAGGATCATCATAAGTATTGCTGAACTCAATCACCGACATGGCACAACCTTGGATTTAAGGATATCCAATACTGCTACACCATATGTGGTCTAAAAATTAAGATTGGGAAGACTTTCTGCCTCAAACCTAGATCCACCCAGGTTAAAATCATATCTGACCTTCCAGACTTAAACAAATCAGCTGGAGACGACTACCCTATTGTCTCGGGTAATTGGGAGTTTGTTCCAAACGATGAATTGCGACTTTTCCCGATCACCAGAGAGGTACTTGATCAAGGTGAGCGACACCCTACCCTCAACACCCACTTCTTCCATCACAGATTTGCAATTTTTCCATCGATTTTCTCTAATATCTTTCTTCCTTCATGCAGTTCCTCTGCAACCCAGCAAGTCAGCTCACCGATAATACGTTAGCATTGACCAAGTCAAGCAGTTGCTTGGCTTGCCTATTGACATATGGACTGCTAAACTATACCGTCACTTACCAATCTCCCGCTATCAACAAACGCATCGATCTCCACACCCCGACAAGATCAAGTCTTATCTTCAGTGCCGACATAAACTGAGGCTTCTGCCCCCCGTCAAGCTTCTACCTCTGCTATTGCACAACAACCATCTCTTACTCAACGCTGACGTAGACACCGACACAACACAAACCAAGTAGAAGGATCTCGTTGCCGACGTAGATGAGGCTCTGATCCTCCTGCTTACGATATAGAGAATCCACCACTTGCTCTCCTAGCAGCTTATCAAAGGGTTACCATTGCAGCCATGCCCGACGAAATGTCTCGCCAGATGGAGCCCATTCCCGATATCTTAGGAAACTTGCTTGGGTCAGTGGTATCTATCCAGACCACACATAGCCGTTCACCAACCCTGAGATCACGACCACATCGGTCCAGGAGTCAACCGACCTCCAACACCACCCGAGACACCACTGCTAAAGACCATAAGACTTGATCCCTATTTCTTAAAGGATTCCCCCTCTTGCTGCTACGGAAACTGAGGCAACCCAAGCTTGAGTTGCCAAAAGGGCCAAGCTTGCCCAAACTAGGAAGCCTATTGATCCAAGGGAGTCCATCCCCGAGGACGAATGGTACCTTGAACGCCTTGTTGGCACCTACCCTCTAAAAAGCGGAGACCGAGCTACTGTGGACCCAATGGTGGCCACCTCTTTAAGCCAAGGAGTTCTCCCAGGGGACATGCAAACCCTGGAGAACTATACTGAGGAGCAATCCTTTGTTAGGATGATGTAGTGCTCCATCATGGTAACATAACTTTCCCTTTATACTTTTCTTGCATACTTAACTTAAAAAAAATTTGCAATGATTTCTATCTTTGTTCCACAGGCGATCCAACATACCATGATCTGGCCAAACGGGTCGACAAACAGAAAGCCGAGCTCATGACTCATGTGGCCCAGAGTGTTGACTACCTGAGGAAGTTGAATGCAGAAAAGAACAGAAAGCAGAGGGACGTCTACCAAGTAGGAAGGCAGTAGAACTAGCCGAGGCTGCGAAGGAACAAGCTGAGAGAGAGAGAGAGGAGATGAGACAACAACTTGCTGAAGCTATGGCAAACAAGGTAGCCGAGATCAAGGCTGCTGATGCTCAGCGTTACTGAGATGGCCAATTGGCCATTCGTGACCGCTATGCAACCCAATTGAATGAGGCCTTCAATCGAGGTTATGTAAACGGGTGGAAAGCTTCCCTTATTGCTGGCGAGGTACTAGAAGAGTCTCCTCTTCACGATGTCACCTAAATTGCACTTCCCTTTCCCCCTAGAACCAGTTCCATCTGTCCCTCCTCTAGCTGATGTTGTAGCTACCTAGACCACCGATGTGTCTTCTCCCACTTTCATTGAAGGTGTCTTGGACTTGACACTTGACGATATTGATGAGGAGCATGCCATTAAAGCAAACATTAACAATGTTGTGTTGACTTCACAAACCGAGAACACTGAGGCCGAAATGGCAAACGCTAAAGCTGTGGGTAAAAGTAAGGCTGGCACCACCGCTGAGGAGACAGCTCAGACTTAGGGTTTTTCCTTACTTTTTTCTTGTCTTTACCTTTTGCTTCGTTCTGGATATCGGTCGCTTTTGAACTTTTGTTGGGCTAATGTCCCCATAGTTGTAGTGAACTTTTCGATTATCAATGAAGTTTGCCTTTTCTTTCAAGTCGTCTCTTTGTCTTGCAACTAACTTGTAACTTAAACCCTTAGTAAAAACCCAAATTTTCTTGAGCCTTGATCTGGTCAGGACTGGCTTCAAATGTGTGTAAAAATATTATTACACAACCAAATCGAATCCTCCTCCAAAGATTCCGGCAACAAAGCCGAAGAGCACGTGCAGTAGATGGAATTCACAACCTGAAACAAGGAATATAATGACTGAACCGGTTGCTACAAACTGGGAGGGCACTCCGACAATCAAGCCAATAACAATATCTCTCAAAGATAATTAATAGAGTAATGATAACTCTAGCAATTAGCTTACAAGTGAAAACATACCTTTAACCCCCGGGGGTGCCTCCCTTTATATAGAACCAGTGCCCTCCTCATCCTAAGAGTCATACTTCAATAGGACACTTATTCCCCACAGGAATAACACTAATCCAGGATTCATATCTGTTGGTTAGATTGGGATAAACCTATCACAAGAGTCCCAACTTATCCAACCAAGGAATCAGTCCTTAACTAGGACTCAGGTCCTTCTCGTGTGATAACATCACACCTCGGCCAATAACATCCTTCCATGTGGTACCTTGGCTAATAAATAAGCCACGTGGGCAAGACGAAAATTATTTCCCCACAATCACCATGGTAGGTACTCGTGATATTAAAAAAAAACAAAAACCAATAGTGAACTTCCAAGAATAAAAATCACCAACCCAATTAGCATTGACATAAGCCCAAAGGGTCAAATTGAAATTCGAGGATATCCACAAGTTTTGAAATATAGTAACCACGAGCATAATGTAGAAGAATAAAAATCACCAACCCAATTAGCATTGACATAAGCCCAAAGGGTCAAATTGAAATTCGAGGATATCCACAAGTTTTGAAATATAGTAACCACGAGCATAATGTAATATGTGCAACAAGGAAGCCAAATGAGTAAATCGAGGTGCAGAGACAAACTGACTAGCCATATGAACAACATGCGGCGAGTCACAGTCAGATAAATCAAACGACCAACCTATTCGTGACATAAATAGGATCATCAAGAGTAACAGTATTAGAAGTATAAAATTTTGCATGTAATTCCCTAGGATTATCAGTTGACTTAGCATTAGTGAGTCGAGCATGATGGAGTAGTGCACGAGGAGAGTAGTGCCCTAGTTGAGTTCCCTGCTGCACAAGTGGTGCCATTGGCTGCACCACTAGTTGTACCATCTTTGATAGACTTGACCCTTCTGATTTGGGAGCTTACATAGGCTTTGTTGAGGGCTAGAGAGGCCTAAGAGGCATAGTTTCACCTGCATGAGTTCAGTGTCACCTTGGCTATGCAGGAATTTTGCCACAGTGATCCACTACTTTTCTTGGGGGATCCAGATCCCATAGCAGCGGAGATTTGGTAACGAGGATCACTAAGATCCTGTACACAACAGATTGTGGAGGTTGTCCTCCGTATTTCTTTCACTAATCAGTTTTTAGGTGTCATTGATATGTGGTGGGGGTTTGTTTGCAGCACCATCGCTATTGATGCTTTGGAACGGTTGGCCTTTACTAAGTTATTCTTGAGGAAGTACTGTTGGAATGTGTTTTACATCGCCTGGAGTTGCCCCTTCTGTGCTGATTATAAGTTATAAGTTTTCAATTTCCCTCTCCTTAATATCTGGGTTTTAAGGAGAAGTGTGGGCTGGGCTGAGCTCTTCAATTGGGTATCAGAACTTGGTTGGACCTGGTGTACCATTTGTCCGTCTATTGCATGTTGTGGTCTAGGAAGGTGTGTTGGAATGTGTCTCACATCGCCTAGAGTTGTCCCATCTATGCTGGTTATAAGGGTCTAGTTTTCCTCTCCTTAATACTTGGATTTTAAAGAGAAGTGTGGGCTGGGCTTTTCATTTAATACTTTCACCCAGTTGCTAGGAATATCCAAGCTAAGGGAAGCCTCCAGTGTGTCAGTGTGAGACTAGATTGCCTGGCTTTTTCTGCTTGGATCTGGAGTTAATCCATACAGAGGTGAAGAAGAAAGAGAGGTTTATCGATGGGTTGATGCCCCTTATTAGGACATCCTTGATAGTCCTTTAGCTGGTGGACTATGGGAAGGTTATCAAGAAGGCCTTATTAGTGGAGGATAATCGGCGGGACAACAAGAGGATTGAGGCCTAGTGTGCTTCTGGGGCTTCTACTTCCTCCATAACAGTATGAAGTGGCTGAGAGAGGTAGCTTCTTCTAGTTTGACAGTGCAGCCAGCTAGGCCTGCCAAGACCTTCACCTCTGTTCCTGCGAAATCTGTCCCGGAGTTCTGACCTGTTACCACTGTAGCCAGACTGGGCATAGGAGGATTGAGTGTCCACAGAGACTTTAGATTCACGCCCCGAGTTCAGGGGCTGTGTGTTTCATATGTGGCTAGTCAGACCATGTTAGACGCTTTTGCCCCGCAATCAGGGCGCTTATGGAGCATCTAGTTCACAGCAGTTCAGGCCCCCACAGTACACTCCCGGCTGTCAGGGCTAGAGACCACCCCATCCAGCAGCTTCATACTAAGATTCTAGGGCGACGCAGAGCTTGTACATGTATTAACTATGTATACATAGACCATGTGAATGTGCCATGTTTTGCTGTCTGTAGGGGCATAACATATTTAAGTTCTTGTAATACCTTGATGAGCGAATACAATGGAGACACAGCCTTTTTTTGGGTGAATAAGAGAAATGACCTTATGCATGGGTTAGTATAAAATTTCAAGAGCCAGAAATTCCGACGTCCTTCAAACTTGATTTGTGGTCTTGTGAACCATAAGAGTTTATAGGAAAATCCATGGAAACAACATTGTAACAATTACATACCTGTCACCTAGCCTACACTAGTCCCATTTCCTCCAAGCTTTTCTAGTTGACCTGCCTGTTCTAAAGGAGGATGGAGTTCAAGGAGATTACTAGGGTCACTTCAAAAGAGTGCAAGAAGCATCTAAAAAGGAGAAAGAGATTGGTGTTGAAGAATGTCGAGCCATCCTGTTGACTTTATTCTGAGATTATATTTTGGTCACTTCATATGCTATGGCTTCTGGTGCGTATATACATTACGCTGATGTTGTGGAGGCTGACTGAGAAACCATGCAGCTGGTTATAGTCTTGTCGCTGAGTCTTTTGCAATGGAGATTTCCTCATCTTTGGAGTCCCTTTGGGGGGCTTCAATTTGCAGTTAAATCTGAAATCTCCAAATGTCAAATGCACTGCAATCCAGAGGATCTCTTTGAGTTAGTAGGAGCTCATTTGTCCCCTGCACAAATCATTTATCATAGTGGTATATCATAGAGGTTTTTTTTTTTTTTCTTTCATATGTTAATAATGCACAAGGGGTGACTATTGGTTCAATGGTTAAGACTTGGCCTAATAACTTTGAGGTTATGGGTTCAAGTCTTGGGACCACCACTTTGTGCATTATGCCAAAGATTAAGTGTGTACTCAATCTTTCCCCTCCCATACACACATTAATGTGTACTAATTGAGCATTTTTTTTTGTTTTTTGTTAATAGTGCACAAAATTTGTATTCATCCAGTTCATTGGTCATATTTGTCTTTGGTGTTTACAGGTTATTGCTTCACTTTTTATATTCCTTTGCTGATTAGTCCATTTAATTAATACTTTTCTTAATCGAACTTTTGGCTTGTGTTTCATTTTCTTTTCTTTTCCTTTTTTACTGCACTGTGTCACTCACTGACCATGAGCTAGTACAATTATGTCATTTTGCTTCATGCAGGCCAAAGATTTAAATATTGCATTCGCAGCCGCCACAGAAGTTGGTGTTAAATGCCCATTGGCATCTCATGCAAAAAAAATGTAAGTCCTTTTCCTTGTATGATCCAACTTTTGAAATTTTCAGGTTCTTATTAAATAGCTTCTAAGAAGCGCCTCCAAGATGGGAGCCGTGTTTGTGTTAAACCCGATTGGGACACCGTCACAGCAAGGACACACTTGTCCATGTGTTCAACACGCCAAATGGTGTGTCCATTTTTTAATTACTATTTATTTATTTGTAGGAAACATTAGGGGTATGGGTGTCCTTTGTTTGGACATACCTTAGGACACCTTTGTAAGGTTTTTTCCAATAATTTTATAATGCTGATTTGGGGTGAAAGTAAAATATATGGAAATAAAGCGGGAATAAGTAAAAAAAATAATAAAAATACATCAGAATATACATCAATGCCTCTCTCATGCCCAACGTGCTCACTCGACAGCACTAGTGGCATGCAGGTCAGGGACGCGCACCATATCCATCCTTGAGTACTCTGACTCTGATACAATGTTACACGGTCTTGCTTAGGGATTGAGGTCTACCCAAGACCGTTTAACATGGTATTAGAGCTTGGTTGACAATCTAGGCTTTGATCATTTGCTTCTGTTGAAGATCTTGTGACGTTGGTGGTATTTTGAAGATTAAAGAAAAGATTGTCAAAGAAAAATCTTCTAGCAATTTTTCTTTGGAGGAGAAACTTAAAGATGATAATTACATCTCTTTGGGTGGTAAGCTTTGAATATATTACTTGTCACTTTTCTCATTTTTTTTTTTTTTTGGGATCTATCCTTTGGAAATTAGATTTGTTTGCACAAAGTCCAAACTTAATACATGTAATTCAAAGGGGCCTTAAGGGAATAATTGGAGACTAGTCCTCCAATTACAAATATTGGACGTGTCCACCCTGTGCTAAGTCTTTGGATTTGCATTTGTACCTACAAAGTAGAGATGAACACAATCTCTTGAATATGTCCGAATTGAATTTTGACTTGGATGATCTTGAAGCCCTCATCGAGCTCTATGATGTTAATACTCGGGTTGGGGATCGGTTCAGATTCTAAGGGCTCTAAATGTAAGGTTGAAGTTGTGTAGTTGTGGTGGAGAGAGAGTGTAGAGAGAAGAGAGGTATAGAGACACAGAGATATAGTAAATTAAGAGAGGCTGAGTTCTCTGTAGAAAATAGGAAAAGGGGTTTCAAAATACTAGGCTGAGAAGCTGCCACGTCGCAGCCTGCACAGCTTGGTTGCTCATGCGGTGGCCCTGCCGCATGTGCGGAGGAATTTGGGCACTTGTGTGGAGGAATTTGGCCTCTCGTGCGGAGCTTCAGCAGAAAAGAAACTCAGTGTGGCCGCTCGTGCAGTGGCCCTGCCACTCGTGAGAAGCTCCAGTAGAAGGGAAGCCCTTGGCCTCTTGTGCACTTTTTGTTTCAAAAATGTTTCTAAGCCCTCAGTTATTTTCATCATTATGCCTGAAACAAAAATATTGAATACACTAGATGCCAAAAGATATTAATGTTGCCCCAATCACAATTGGAAAGTACGATCTGTCACACTAAGGGTCTGAACTCGGCATCAACATACCCACATACGGGATTTCAAGTCGGGTTTTAGACCCGGGACGCTACACAACCGCTCCTTGAGAATAACCACTAGCAATAAAATATAAAAGTGCATGGTATGCAATGTGTTTTGAAATCATTGTTATACCAATCTTTAATTTGATAAAGTTAACACATTCTATTTCCATTGAAACTTCAACTCACTCAAAATTTCCAAGTGAAAAAGTAAACCGAAAATATATGGGTTACTAACCCAAAAGACTACGGGATAGAAATCACATGCGGGTTTACAGGCTTACAATGACGTTCAAACTCATTACCCATATCCTTTCATTCACACAACTTCAATATGGGCCAAAACAAACCCACAAAAACGTGGTTCTCAAACCCAAGTCAATAACATCAACTTTAAATCAATAAAAGGCCTCAACCTTAAACATCAAATCTAAGAAACCCAAACCTCAAAGTCTCTTAGCTTTCTTGAAAATCTTCATTTCCATTATTAATCATTCCGCACTATAACCATTCTTTTAAGTTTACCAAAATTTCTCTTTTTCATGAAAAAATCACTAGTTTCATCAGAACTTGGAGATTCCACAAAGTCCTCCAAACCTCTACTTTTTCAAAAGTCCTCACACATCAACTCTAACTAACTTACTTTATACCACAACAAAGCATAGTATGGTGTACTTTGAGTTAGGGCTGTTCATAAAATCCACTGACTCGCACAACCCAACTGACCTGGTTTGACCCCGCCACTCCATGGTCTGTTTCGATGACATTCTTGGTGGGAAACGGATGTTGAGCAACCAAAAAGTGAGTTTCGGTTTGGACAGCGGATTCAAAATGTTCCATCCGAATAAAATCCGACCGAAAATGTACATTAAATGTGGCATGATTCCATTTGTTACTGCCTTGTCATTTTACACAGCAGTATTTAATCTTGATCAGAGAGTTTTATTTCACCAATACACTTTCATTATTAGAAAGCCTTTTCCTCATATATATATATATATATATATTTTTTTTTAATCAATTACGTTCTCATTAATTTATACTTTGATCAGAGTGTTGTCACTTCACCAAACACACTCATCATTACAAAGACTTTTCCTCTTCTCATTATCATAATCCCTCTCGGTACCTCAATCAAAATCAGATAGCTTCTCTATCTTATCTTTCTCCCTCTCTCTCATTCATCTCATCACTTCACTTTCTCTCTCTCTCTTCCCACTATCTTAATCACCTCACATATTCATAGTAGCTGAGGCAATTAGATGGTTGATGGGCTGAGATTGCAGTGAAGATGGCGTTGAGATGGTGGTTGTGGTGTCGGCGTTGGCGTTGGCGTTGGTGTTGGCGTTGAAATCCTTTTCTCGAATCTCCTTTGATCCTCTTCCTCATCCTCTCCCATTCTGCTCTGCTATCTCTCCTCCAGAATCCTCATCCCCTCATCTCTGATCTTTTTACCACTAAGGAAGATGCCGGAAGGTTGTCACACTACTGACCGAAGTCCGACTGATTTTTATGCAACCTGAAGTAACGGTTTCGAAGCAGTGATGGTCGAGATCGGTTGATATGTTCTCTAAACCGAAGCATCTGGTTTGGTTGACGGATGACCGGAAAACACGATCCGATCCGATCCGACCTGTGAACAGCCCTACTTTGAGCATTCAAGAAAGGTCACTAGCCCGAAGCATAATGTCCTAACTGCATGCCAAATTCTGTACTCTTCGAATAACTCACCCAAACATCAAATAAAATAGTAAAAATTACAAATAATGAAGTAATAACTTAACAGAAAATCATATAAAGTCAGCTCGAGAAATATATCAAACAATACTACAGTTTATTAGCACTTAAACGTGCTTAATCTGTCATTTAGATATCCAATTCCAAGATAGGAATTTTTATCACATAAAAGCCCTATTTTTTTATGCTCTCAACGTACTACCTTTGGAATAAATCAATGCATGTATCGTATATATTTGCAAGAAACAAAGAATAAGGAGAGATATATGGTGTCAACACTTTTTCTTAAACATTGAAGCTAAAACAATTTTTTATTTTTTACTTTTTAAACTAGAAACATAAAACATGCTTTCCAAAGCATGAAGCATAAAGCTAAACATGGTAACTAGTATATTTGAAGTAACTAGTAAAAATCCCTACCCACAATACCTTTAAAAAAATGGAAGAGATGTGGATAGAATGAAGAGCTCTTCAATCCTTTAGAGAATGGATGGTCTATTATAATAGTTGTGCGCAAATATTGGTTTTGGTCTATTATATTGAGGGCATTAACAAAATGATAATGTTCTGAATGGATGTGTGCCAGCTTTGGGATCATGTGGTAGTCATAGAATGCTAGAGTATTAACACTTTTTGGTATCACTTTTCTTTCCCAATTAGATATGCAAAACTGTGACGGTGTTCATATAGAGACTGGGCTTCACCCATCTGATGTGGCACAATCCAACCCACTCCTCATTTTTGATCATTAAAGTTTGACCGTTATCTAATTTGCTTGATTCATTATTGGCTTACTGTGCCCTTATGGAAACTTTTAGTCAATGAACTTTGGCATAAGATAAATAAATTTAGCACGAGATTTTTTTTTTTTTTCCCCTCTTGTAAGAATTCGAAGCTTAATGTTGCCAAAAAGAAAAAAAAAAAAAGAAGGAAGAGAATGAGAGAGACAGAGAGAAAAAGTGGAAGTCTGAGGGGACATTCGCATCTATAAACTTGAGCAATTCATTTACTGCATGGTCTTTGCTAGACAAATCTCTCAAGCTCGAAAAAGTCATCTTAATGTCAAAGCTTCTATTTTTTTTTTTTTTTGTTGATAAATATGTCAAAGCTTCTATTGTCCTTGTGCTCAATATTAAAGAATAGGGTAAATTACACCGATAGTTCCTATATTTTGGTTCTTGTGTCAGTTTGGTTATTATAATTTTAATTGACTCGATTTTGACCCTAAATTTATGATTGTCTCAATTTGGTCCGATTGATTACAATGGTTATCATTTTTTAATGAAAAATATGCATATGAGCGGGAAGTGTTATATTTTTAGGGGAAAAATTATGAACTTGATTAACTCAGCGAGTTAATCTCAACCAACTTAGATATCATTTTTTGTCAAAAATTTTAATGATATTATCAATTAGATCAAATTGACACAAATTTAAAATTAAGGATCAAAATTAAGTTAATTGAAAATGTGGGGATGAAAATGACTCTAGGGGCAAAATGTAGGGAATATGAAGCCTTACAAGATTAGGGTTGGTGAAGAATTCAAACACAAAATTCTTCAGAGAGAGTTTGTCCCGCTAAAGTTGTTTGACCTAGACTTCTTACGAGGACATGGAATTGTAAATTGTGATGTAGCATTAAGCTTTTGTCGATGAGAATGAGAGAGATACATATGATAGATTGTGGCATGATATATCGGAGTATAATTCTTCTCATGATGACGTGAATTTTTGTTTCTTCAGATTCACGGAGCTCTGTAATCATGGTCATGGAATGGAGGACTTCTCCTGTGTCTTTCGCCATTACTACTCAGGCAAGGAGGAGCCTTAATTTTTTTTATTATTAAAAATAAAATAAAATAAAAAAAGGTTTCTTTTGTTTACACCTTAATTTTCCCATTGTCTTGAGATCTCATTGTTATTCCCACCAGTAGCTTTGATCTGGTTTAGTTAATAAAAAAAAAAAAAAGTTTCTTTTGTTTACACCTTAATTTTTCCTTTGTCTTGAGATCTCATTGTTATTCCCAACAGTAGCTTTGATCTGGTTTAGTTAACCTCCTGCATTAAGGAGGTTCATTATTGAATAATTGTTGTAAGAAATGTTTGTAATTTTTCTTTTGTTGCAAACTCAATGGGAATGTTCAGCCAATTTTGTTCATCATTTTATTGTTGTAAGAAATTGTGAGTTTTTTCCTTTATTTTTTATGTTTTCATTTCATTTTTTAAAAGGGATGTTCGACTTTTGTTTGATGTATTAGAACTGAACAAAATTGTATAGTTTGGAATCACACTGCTGAGCAAAAAATACATATCTGGTAATCCACTGCCAAGCAAAAAATATTTGTTTAGTGACCTACTACCGAATAAAAGGTACATGCCCGGTAACTCATTACTAAACATTTTTAGTTTCATTTTTCTAACATTTTTGTTTTTTCTGCTTTGAAAGATTATGCTTCTATTCATTGTAGCAAGGTTAGTAGTGCATTTTTAATGGACTATACTTATAAATTCATTATAGACAAGATTTGTTAGATTTATTTGCTTGTCATCCAGTATTTCCAAAAGCAAATAATTGGATTCTTTTTTATCATATGTGTACTAATGGGTGGAAGAAAGCATATACTACTCACACTGATCAATTTCGTACATTTGTCAACCCTGATGTAGTAACTATCAAAATTATCAACATAGATAGATTGTGATAGCATCTTGGCGTGTTTTTATAGATGTTTGTATTAACAAATTTGAAGATAAGTATTGTCAAATTTTATGAATGTTTTTATGGATGTTTGTACACTTCACATTTTTATGAATTCTTGATGTTTTAAGGAAAGTAACCCTGTAAACGTGCAGCAACAAATGGTTGGAAAAATCTAGTTTGTTCGGCAACACATCGGAATAATCCAAATTGTTTGGCAACGTATAACTGAACAAGCCCATCATAAATTTAAGAAAAAAAATGATAACAGATGAATGGAAAAATATAGTTTGTTCGGTAACATAACATTGGAGTAATTCAAAAGGAATAGGTGTAATGAGAAAAATCAGTAAGAGTTTTGAAGAGGGTTTAATTTAAAGTTTTGGTATTATAAAGGGTGTAATGAGAATTTCAATTATTTCTTAAAGGTGTAATAAAAAAAATAGGTGTAAAGAGAATATATTGTGGTGTAAGTAGAATTTTCCAAAAAAGTAGGATAAAAAGACTAAAATGCTCTTCCATATATATAGGTACAGAGGTACATAGAGACAAATGGTTCATTTTCTAAGCAAAAATTGAACTAGAAGCAAATAGTTTTGGTGTTGTGAAGTTTGAAAATGTTGAAGGATTTCATCATGTTCTACCGTTCGTTACTTTCCAATCAACCATCAAAAATATCTTTGAAGTTCCAAACGACAAGCAATACCTGGTAAATCCTCTCTTTTGTAGAAACATTGATATATTGAACTCTCAAATCTGTTTAGGTGTTGTTTGGTGAGTTTGGTTTTTAGCCAAAACGCTACTACAAATTATCACATCATTCTCTCTATTGTTCTGTACGGTTTTTTTTTTTTTTGGGTTCAACGTCAAGAAGCCAACTAAAATAGCTAATTCACAAATTGGGCCTTAGTTTTGATTTTAATGCACTTAGTTTTCTACAGTTCACTGGTGTTCAAAAGTACCAAGCTCTAATTCTCACTTGTAGTTAGTATCTCATTCTATGTTTTTCATGAATATTTTGTAGTTTTGTTAAAAGTAAATGTCATTTTAGAACAACATTATAGTCAAATATAGGGTTTTAGATTTTTCATTGTTCAATCTAGGGTTTCTGTGATTATTGTGTTGTGAAATTGAGTAAAATTGACAACGATAGTAAAATTTTACCTTCTTGTGTTTTGGTTTTATTTTATGATGATAATTAGAGTAATGTTTGTGTCATTGAATTCAAAATTGAATGACAAGCCAATCATTATGGATTTTTTTTTTTTTTTTTTTTGAACGGAGTCAATCATTATGTTTAATATTGTTATTTTTGACATTGACTTAAGTCACTCTAATGCGAATAGTTATTTATAAGATTTTACTCTTATTGTGTTGTAAGTTTGTTCAATTGTGTGAATTTTACATTTAGAGTTTATCCATGCAGACCTACTAGTTTACTATTGAGCCTTGTTTATTGTGTGAATTTTACATTTAGAGTTTATCCATGCAGACCTACTAGTTTACTATTGAGCCTTGTTTTATTTTCTTTCATAGTAATTGTTTTCTATAACTGTTGTGATGTCAATATTGTTTTATGAATGTTTATTGTTCAATGTTCAATGAATCATCCTTAACATCATCATCAAAATACTCAAAACAATAATTCCTTTTTGTTCACTTGAATATCACAAAATATTGTTTGGCCCATTGTTATGTTAATGAATAGTAACATTTTATTGTTTTGCATAGTATAAATCGCAATGCTTATTGGTTACTACCTTTAATTAGTAAAATTTTACACTGTTGTTACATGACAAGTTTATTATTCTGAAATGGGTATAACTAGAAGTAAATGCAAAGATGATGATGACGATTTTGACGTCAAAGAAAGTGTTCAAACAAAATGGGTCCTTGTAACATCCAATGAAAGTGATCAACCAAATCGTGAATTAAACATAAAGGCAATGATGAGGAGGATGATGATTTTAAGCTCAAGGGAATTTGAAAATGTATTCGTGGCATCTTTTAGTGAGGCCCTTGCCTGGGGGTAACAATACCATGGCCCATTAGCCCTTGCTTCGGGAAAACAATACCATGGACCATTGGCCCTCGCCCGGGAAAAACAATACCGTGGCCCATTAGATTAATTGAAACATAGAGATATCTGATGATAGACCTTAATGGTCTACTTTGAAATATGATATATTGATTGACCCGTTGTGGCCCCATTGGATTGACTCTAGTGGTTGTATTGATATTGGCACATTGTTATTCTATTGGATGTACCACGTAAATTGATTTGAATGGTTATTGCTATTGTGATACAATGGATTCATTGTTAAACAAATTGTTGTTCGAGGAAATGGATCATTTGTGAAATGGGAAATTATGTTTTGAATCTGGGCTCTAGCTCACTCTTATATATATATATATATATAGGTGAGCAATTGGAGGATCAACATTAGAGTTTGCCTTGGAGTTCACCCTTTGTCAAGCCATCCAAGATGCCCTTTTGTGTCGAGGCATTGGTTTTGTTTTGTCAGCATTTTGTATTTTGTTGAGTCCTATATGTATGTGTGTGAGATATGTCTTCATATTTGTATATGTTATAAAAGTGTATTATGAATGTTTTAAATATTTCAGTTATCATGTATGCACAAGCTCAATGGACATTATTATTTTTGTTTTGCTTTCGTTTTGGGCTCCGATATTATTTAAATATTTTGAAATTTTGTCTTTGAGGTCGAAGGTAATCTAGGATTACTGGCCGGTTACGATACTAAACCTATAGAGGCGGGTTTAGGTCGTGACAATAACACTTATGGTGGTTGAAATTTGTAATTATATGTGATTAACATAAAAACTAACTAAAATGATTAACGACATGTACACAATTAGCGATTGAGGGTTGTTTTTGATAATTTTTACATAATTGTGACGTAAAATCCTAAGATGGCACGTGACTTATTTGAACATTTATCGGTATTTGGTTTTGGGATAAGGGTGGATGTGCAAGTGGCACGTAGGGAGGTTATGTACTCCTGGCAGACCGTTCCACAGATGCCACAGCTTGGGTATACAACTTTGGGTGTGGGCATCCTTAGTAGTTACAGTTGGTAGCACTTGAATATTTGACCAAGGGGGTTTTCAAATTAACCGTGGCCATGACTTGGTGGTTGGTAAGAAAATCTCTTTGGTGAGATTTTGAGTGTCACCTAAACGATTGAAATTATAAAAATTATTTTAAGGGTTGTTATATTTTTATTCTATTAATTTCATTATTTTCTCTTAATTGTCATGGTTATTAATCTGATTATTTTCTCTTGAAAAAAATCGTAGGTTTGTTATGTTTTCTTGTTGTGTTGAAAAACTCATGAGTATGTTTTGTTGTCCTGGTGTTTTATGCCAGATTTTGACGAGGGCCGGAAGCTGAAATTGGAGCCCCTGCTAATATAGAGCCTTGGCTACCTTGAAGCCATGACTTTAGCAAAATAAAATTTTACTATCATATGTATTAATGATTAAGGATTAAGGATGTTATAATGTTTCTTAATATTGTATTTGGACTTCTAATTTTATTTATTTATTTAGTGTTGTTAAACTTTTGGTTGTGTGAGAACTGAAATTTTCCTATTAAGATGTTAAATGTTCAATTTAGTAAGTTATTTTGTTATTTAATTTCCTATGATGTTTCAAAAAAATTTTTGGGGCGTCACAATTTGAAACTAAGAATGATTGATTTTTAATGAGTTTTGGATTGGTCATTGAGCTTTCAATTGTCCAAAATTCAAAATACAACTCGACAACAGAAAAACAGAGCATAAACAGCTTAACCATGCCAAAATACACTTGTTGGAATAGAAAAGACTCAAAACAAGACCTTAACAAACAAACCGTTGAGCCCTCTCCCTTCTTGCAGCTTTCAAATCATGGTAGAGAATAACTTGGCCGACTGGTTAATTAATTAGCCGGTAGACCAATTAATTAGTCGGCCGACCGATTTGGTTGATAGCCAGCCAAATTATGAGAAGGAGAAGTGGTCGGTCGACAGAAAAGTTAGCTGGTCGACAGAAAAAGTTGGCCAACTAGCTGGACAAGTAGTGTGACATAACTGGAGACAGCTATCATGCCAAGCCACCATCGTCTATAAAAAGTGATCTTCACATGCTGTAATGCCATAGAAATAAGAAATAAATATTTTGCTCTTGAAAATGGAGAATTCCCTCATTATGCTCAATGAGTGGATGGCCCTAGACGGCGCGGATAAAGTGAATTATGCTGGATTTGGCCTAAACGCACTTTTCTCCTTAAATCGTGCCCCACTTCAACTTCCGTTTCTTCGTGTAGGTACTCATTGTTGCAATTCGGTCACTCATGTATTCCGCTTTGGGACACAAGAGTTATGTCCGACTATTGAAGAATAATTTTAAGCACTAATGGAGCTTTCTCGAGATGAGGAAATTTTAGCCCGATTAAATTTT